AGTAAGGCCAGGGGCCCCTAGTAGCTTCTTGTTACTAGTAGTAAGGCAGCCACGGGGCCCAAAGCCCGACGGCTTAGGAGTCCGGCCTCCAGCGGCCGCTCGCCGTCTCGCAAGAGATGGAGGCGGTGTCTACTAGCAGGGCTTGACAGGTCCTGCCGCCGTGATCCTGTGGCCTTTGCTAGTTGGTGACCCGCCTTCAGTTCTCGCGCCATGGATGTGCTGGAGAGTCAGCTGGAGTGCATCTCCCAGACATATGTGAAGAATGGGATCCGAGGGCTTTTTGCTGGCCTTGTTCCGGGATTCTGCCCGGTCATCGATGCAAGATCCTTTGTGGTGGGCGATGTGCTTGACTATGGAGCGGAGTGGTTGACCGTGACACCACACTGGTTCCAGCCGGGTGTGGGTTTTTCGAAGCCTGATGAAGAGAAGAAGCTCACGATTTGCATGCCGGATGTCTGCCATCGGGGCCTTCACATGTGCCCTGGCATTCAGGTGATGTGCTCTGGCCGACGAGTTGGAGCATTTGATGAAGACAAGATCAACCTGGATGACGCCACAATCGGCTTCAGACCTGAATATACTCCAATGCTGCCGTGGGACGCAGTTCATTTATTTTCAGGCCTGTTCTGTGGGTGGAGCCAGGGGCTCCATTGGCTTGATCGTGAGGAAGGTTCCTTCTACCTCGGCCAAGAGGTGTATGTCGACCACGATTCAACCGTCATGGAACTGTGGAGTGTAAGAAACCAGACAAGGTTTCGCTCTCTTCCACTAGCAAGGGGGCAGAGTTGGCTGCCGGCAAAGAAAGTAGGCCTTTGTGGCCAAGTCAACGACATCACGATTCTGGAAGCTTGTAGGTCACAGGCCAACTTGTTGACTACAATGTCGCCACCTTGTCAGAGTTGGTCAAAAGGTGGCAGACGTGCAGGACTTGAAGACTCGAACGGACGTGCATTTCTTGACGCACTTGTACAAAGCTTTGGCCTGCAAACTTTAGCCATAGCGGCTGAATGCGCAGATGATGTCATCAGCCACCCACAGTTCAAGATTGTCAAGTCCTTTGCGCACATCTTAGGTTTCAAGCTTGTTTGGGACCAAGTCACGCCATACCACACCATGACCTCACATGCTCGATCTAGGTGGCTCGGAGTGTGGGTGAGATCGGACGTTGCAGTCCAGATGCTGCCTTTTCAGCTGAATCTTCCTTTGATGCCACATGCACATTGGACTGATCAAGCATACCAGTTTCAGGTCCCGCCAGTTTGGTCATCTCAGCTCCAACTGTCAGCGTCGGAATGTCAGATTTACGATTCGCTCCACTCGTTGCCCCCGGCCAAGCGAGCCAGGTTCGAAAACAAGCACACCCTGAACAAGGAGATCATCAGGTCGCGAGTTCCAGACTCGTCCCAAGTACTACCAACCTTATGTGCGTCGTACACACGACAACATACACTAGATGTGCATCATGTCTCTGCCAAGGGGCTCTTTGCATGCCTTAGGGAAACGGCAAGCGGATTCCACTTCTTTGATCCAGC